AAAAAAAAAAAAAATGTTACACACAGGTTAATATGATCACCGCTCTTAAATCATTTAAACATGAAATGTTCAAGATTCTCTGTCTAAATTTCCAAGATGCTTTTGGAAAAAGGAATCCAATGTTAACTGCATCTGATTACAACGTTGTTCAACTATTTTTCTTTCGGTTAAATTTTTCAGCTCTAAAACCAGTTGGAGATAACTCTCATCTTTGTGAACCGCAAAAGTTTTTAACTTAATAACCATATCAAGCACTTCTTTATGTGAAAGGTTACTTCCAGGAACATCAACGTATTTCTCCTCATTATCAAGGACAAACTGTTAGTTCGACTCTTCAGTTTTCGGTTCAACAAAGCTTGATATCAGGTCTCTTTCCGAGTCCCCAGTGTTTTCTTCTGTTGGCGTTTCAATGTCAACGTTCTGCAAGATCGACTGATCGACTCTCAATTGTTGTGCAAGAAGCGACAGCGGAATGTCGTCTTCATCTTCGTAGTCATCTTCTTGTTCGTCAGTCAGTCAGTCAGTCAGTCAATCATAGTGTCGAGGGTGCTGTCTCAGACCATGCCTTGGCTATCCAGTTGATAGCGTCAAGTAAAGTTATTTCTTTACAGAGTTCAGAAACTCTTTCAGCCCTTTCGATCTTGCTTAAAAGCGATCGTAGCAGATATTTCTCGTAACGTACCTTAAAGGCACGGATAATCCCTTGATCAAGTGGCTTTAAATGGTACGTTGTGTTTGCTGGAAGAAACTTCAAGGTTACGTTCGAGATCTGACAGTTGCCATGTGGTGAGGTATTATCCAAAAACATCAGAATGTGGCGTCGTTTTCTTTTGATCTCTTGATTCACATCTTTAATCCATGTCAAAAAGATGTCGTTTGTCATCCAGGCTTTCTTTTTGGCAATCTAAGTTACTGGAAATTGCTCAGGCTTTATGTTTTTAAAACAACGAGGTTTCTGCGCCTTTCCGATAACCAACGGCTTGAGCTTTTCACCAGTGGCACTACATGCAAGCATAATTGTAACTCTCACTTTGGATATCTTACTACCCTTGGTGTTGTCGCCTTTCACGGATAGTGTTTTGTCAGGCAGTACTCTGAAGAAACAAGCCTTTTTCATCTCAGTTAAATAAATTGTCAGGTGAATAACCCTGGACAATATCTGGAACTCTTCTCTTGTAGTCGTCATCTGTGTCGATATTAACTCCAGCGCTTTCACCGCTCACTTTAAAGCCTTTGATTGAGTATCGTTCCTTCCATCGGTCAAGCCAGCTATTTGAACTTTTAAAGTCGGTAATGTCAAGTTCTTTTGCAATAAGATGGCTTTTTCTTGGATAGTTGGACCTGAAATCGGTATGTTCTTGGCCGTGCACGGTAAAACCACTGCCACACAAGTTCATTCAGTTTATCAAATCTGCAAAAATTGTTGAAACGCTTCTTGTTGGGGTTGCTATATTTTCCGTACTTGGTCTTATAGACTTTTTTCTTCTTTAAAATATCACCTACAGTTGATTTATCGATCCCACATTTACCGCTTAGAGCCTTCAGTGTTGGATTAGGCACCTTTCCACTGATACATGTAGTATATGTGAATAAAACAATATTTTTGACTCGTAGATTATAACAAATAACGGAATGATTCTCACAGTTCTCTTGATTCTTAAACAAATTCTCGGTATCAGCACCGGAAGGAATGTAAAGACAACAGCATGGAGGATATGCGTACTGATTTTCGGGTGTAAAGGGTTAAAACTTGCCCAGTGAGTCACTAGACTGGCAGCTGTGTGATGATGATAGTGTAACTCCTGAATTTCATTAATTCAAAACGCTCTTTTCATTTATGTTTATCTTTTTATTAACCAGGTGGACGTACTTTTAGAGGCCGCACAGCATGCCGAGCACGATAATATACGGGGTGTAAGCGAGTGTTTGATCCTTGGAAAAATCCCCCGTATTGGAACAGGTTGCTTTGATTTGATATTAGATGCTGAGAAGTGTAAGTTTGGTATGGAGATCCCCACAAACATTACAGGACCTGGGATGATGGGTGGACCAATGACAGGTGAGAACAACATGGATGTCTTACTCAAAATGGACTATTCTTGAGTCGTTCCACAACTTTCCCTACAAGCTCATTTCTGCATTCTGACGGTTAGGGTAGATTGTTGCCATGCGGTGATGTTGCTTACCTCTTGTATGTGTCTTCTCCTTGTCCAGGCACTGGAATGTTCTTTGGTGCTGCTAAATTACCACAGATGACTCCTAGGACCGTGGGAGCCACACACGCTTATACTGAGGTCTATCCGTTGTACTCTCTCACATCGCCAAAATACTGTCCAACATCTCCATTTTACTCTCCCACATCGCCAGGGTACAGTCCAACATCTCCATTTTACTCTCCCACATCGCCAGGGTACAGTCCAACATCTCCATCTTACTCTCCCACATCGCCAGGGTACAGTCCAACATCTCCATCTTACTCTCCCACATCGCCAGAGTACAGTCCAACATCTCCATCTTACTATCCCACATCACCAACTTACTCGCCTTCTTCTCCTTCCTATGCTCCTTCGTCTCCAAAGTATTTTCCATCCAATGGCGCACAGTAAACACGTTTACTGTGCGCCATTGCTAGGTCACTGTAGGCGTGAGGGTTTAAAATTAAACTTGCATTCAATCGCGTTTATAATGTCGTCAATTCTAATTGAGAATTCCTTTGCTGGTTGGGAAATTTAGAGATAATACTGGGGAGGCTGATTTTGAAGTCAACGGCGTTCCATTCAACAAGCTCACTGCACAAATTACACTGCATAGAGTAAGTCACGCGAGCTATAATCGTTCTTTCGTTTAAGTTAGTGTCGAAATGCGTTGTTCGACTGTCGGAAGTGTTCGTAACATCAAATCGACCATATGTAATAAGTTTCAATGCCAAAAATTATAGTGATATTACTTGAAGATATTGGATGATGTTGCGTTGGTTTTCTGGCACAAAAATAACTTGGTGCTAGCTAATAAAAAAAGTAGACTTACGCTACCATGGGAAATCTTCATTAATTTTGTATCGCTTTGCTGTTAAAACATTTTAAATTGCCACTTGGTTACCTTTTTTTGTAAGTTCTGGAGGAAACATACAGTTAATTAGCTGTAGCTGTTATTGCAAAAAAAAAAACAAATAATAATGTGAATAAAATAAAAAACAGATCAAACATGAAGCAAAACGATAGTAAACAAGATATTTAGGAAACCCACATTGCTTCTGATTCTTTAACTGGTGCCCAACGACGAGAAACATGAATATGTATTCAAATTTTACCTCAACCTGCATCCAAAGATGGTAAAGTTACTAAGAATTTTATGCCAGTATAGGCCACCTCAAGGTGGTCTTTATCTCGGGTTACACAACAGCCGTAAAAAAAACTTAGATATTTTATTTGCCAAAGCGAATATGATATCCATCAATATTCCAAATTAACTAGGTGTCAAAGATTTTGCTCACTTAGCAAGAGGAAAAATTTACTCGACTGTGGCACTCTTTTTCAAAATGAGGAACCGTGACGTTTTCTTAACGACTCTAGATGGTTCAAGGAGACATCTCTTACAAAAAAGCACATTTATCCTAAATGAGAGATTTCCTCGTTTAAAAAAAATATTAAATTGACGCGTTCAGGCCTGGCTTGATTTTTTTTTCGATGGTGTAACCCAACTTAAGTAGTTACTGATTTATAGTTTTATTACATCCATTTTGAAATCACTGGGGGTCCCTGTAATCTGATTGGCTCTAATTGGTGCGATTTATTCACAAATCGCACCCTTTTTTGCTCTAAATCGCATCATTTTATGCTTGACTGAGTTTTTGACGCATGACGTCAAAGTCTTTCTGTTATGCATACAAAATAAGATGTAAAAGCATTTCCGGTTCCGCTTTTTAGTTAAAAACCGGCTCAGTTATGCATCAATAAAACATTTGAATGGTCGACCAAGTCCTGTATTTGGGCGATTTCAAAATGGGTGCAATAAAGTGGTAATTTAACCTCGTGTCGTGCAATTTTGGTCTGAAATCATACTTGTGATTTCAAATCGAACCCGCGCTGCGCGCTCGTTCGATTTTGAAATCATGCGTATGATTTCAGCCCTAATAAGATACATGAAAAAATTTCTAAGTTCTGATTGGTTAAGATGAATGCAGTTTTCAGTTAATTCGGTGCAGAAGAGAGTTGATTCAGTGTAGAAGAGGGTTAATTCTGTGCAAAGAAAGAAACTAACCAGACATTCTGATTGGTCAGAATGATTGGTCAATGTCAAGGTCAATGTTACTTGCAGGGTTTGAATAAATTATTTTTGCACCTGATGGGTGCGTTTTTCTTCTGCGTAGTTATGAGAAGCTAACTCGTATTTTTTTATGTATATTATTAATGCATCATCATATGATTTTCGCGTGCAATTTTTATAGGTAATCACATGATTTCGAGTGCAATTTGGAATAGATAAACACGAGTAAACTTTTTCAAAGACCAACAAAATGGCATGAACCCGTCCGTAGGGCGAGTGCCAGTGAAAAAATCATGTGATTATCTATCAATAATATACATGAACAAATACGAGGTAGCTTCTCATAACTACGCAGAAGAAAAGCGCGCGCATCACGTGCAAAAATAATTTAATCAAACCCTGCAAGTGACATTGAACGTGACATTGACCTTGACATTGACCAATCATTCTGACCAGTCAGAATGTCTGGTTTGTTTCTTTCTTTGCATTGAATTAACCCTCTTCTGAACTGAATTAACTCTCCTCTGCACTGAATTAACTGAAAACTGCATTCATCTTAACCAATCAGAACTGAGAAATCTTTTCATGTATATTATTAGGAATAAAAAAGCACTTTTAACTTTTTTTCAAAAAAAATTTTCAAAAAAAAAATTTACTCGTACTTATTTATTCCAAATTGCACTCGAAATCATGTGATTACCTATACAAATTGTACTCCACTTATGCTCCAGTCAATTGAAACCCCGGCCCCCCGACCCCCGGGACATAGCGGGGATTGTAACAATTTGACAGTGTTACATTTGTGTACACCACACCGCCCATCGGGAAAGTATGTTGGTACAATCCCCGCCCTCATTGCCCCGGTATATACAATATTTTGGAGACTTGATTTCCATAATAGTACACCAATCTTGTATATACACACGGAAATGACCGTCACATAAATTTAATATACAAGTATGTGCGTCCATTGCTGCAGAAACCTTGAACTGCCTAGACAAAACGCCTAATGCACTTAAGCACTTATTAGTGGGGACACTAAAATGGCGTTACAAGCCCAGCTCCAAATTCCCGGAAAATCGGTGAGAGCGTTACTGGCCCCGTCCCCCCGGGAAAACACTTTGTTACAATAACGTTTTTTCCACGGCCATACCCCCGTTACACCCCCGCTATCCCCCGGGGATCGGGAGGCCGGGGTTTCAGTTGACTGGAGCATTAGTTCAATTACCATTATAAATAAACTCTCAAGCACAGAACCTGTACTTTTGCGATGAAATGTATTTGTAAATTAGTAGTTAGTCATCCTGGACCTCCCAAGGGCTTGACTGATTGAATTTGATTAAAAAGAGTATCTATTATTCTGATTTTAACCGCGATCAAGAGCAAGTACTGTCGGTGTTCTAGGAATGAAGACACAATCCGCTTTTCCATCTCAACCGCCCGCTTTTTCAATTTTTTGATGCACATCCTTCTCTACATTTTCACACGAGTCTCGATGAACAATGCAAGAACAACGCAATAACCAATTTCGATGAACAATGCAAGAACAATGCAATAACCGCC